TTAGAATAGCTTCTGCTGGTTCCAGTAATGCAGTAAGGACTATTTTAAAAGAATTACGTAAAAGAAGCCCATTTTTTGATACTTTAAGTGAAGAGATTTAGAAAGTAAAAAGTAACTCTTACAGATCTTTCTTAGACTTGGTGTTACGCATTCACAAAGATGATTTCACTTTTTGTATCTCTTTGGTAATGTTTCAGAAATCCTTACATTTGTGAATTGCTATAAGGTGTGACACAGTTATCAGAAGCTCATTTTGGCAGCATCAATTTTATTACTCACCAGGGTTTCCTCAGGAATTACCAGACTCCCGGAAGAGTTACTATAAATCATAAAGTAGGCTGAAGAACCTAAAAAGAAAAAGTTCTACCTTTTCCTTTTAAACTTTAACCTGTAATTCTTGAAGACATGGAAACACTGAATTCAGCCTCCAAACCAAAAATGCCGAAAGTCTAACAAAACATGTGATCAAAATTTTTTTCAGCACAGTTAAACCTTTTTACATTAGAGAAGATTTTTCAGTTGGAATTGTTTTAAAAGTTGCCAATATCTATTTTTTAAAAGATCTTTCTTTTGATGAGGAAGCAATACATGAGATGGTTGAACTTGAAATGCCTGGTTTTACATAGAAAAAATTTTTTATAGATAACATTTTAGTTATTCAGAGTGGTGACTATCAAATTTTATTAAAATCTCATCAAGTGGGAAATCTTAAAACACTTATTATGCTCACAATTATTGTAAACAGAACAATTTAAATGAGAGGAGGAGATAATGACATTAACTTCTTAACTTAAAGCAATCCTCTGTGGCATGATTTTAAAATATTCTCTTGGTCTGAAATTTATGTAAATTGAATTCATCTATCATTGGTTATTACCAGCCTAGCTACATAAAAAAAAAAACAACAACGCAGTTCTCTGTAACAATTAGTTGTTAAAAACACTGTGTTTTAATTAGACTTGGGACATTATTAAACTAGCTATAAATATGTACAGTATTTTATTTGGTATACCCAGATGTCTAAAAATCAACAAAAATGCTCTCAGAGTTCTTTCTTCAAAAATTCTTCTAATAAAAGCCTTTCATTCAAAGTTTTGATGTAATCTGAAGGTATTTACTTCAGATTTTTTCAAATTCCACTATGTAAATACAAAAGAAATGGTCACTTATAACCAGAGAATAAACAGAGAATCATTAGTCAGTGGTAACCAATTCTTCATTTTATGGATGTCCCTGAACAAAAAAATTCATGGCAGAGCTTGGACAAAACTTAGATCATACAATATTTTATACAGATTATCCCATTTAATTCTCACCACAACTGTGTAATTTCAGTACTATCTACACCATTTTATATACAGGGAAGGTCATGTAATTAGACTAGTAATTCAATCAAGCAAGGATTTAAATCAAGCCAGTCTGTTTCCAGAAACCATATTACTACCCCTAATCCTAAATTTTAAGAACAAGTTAATATTTTCCATTCATAAAGAAAATTCCAAAATACTCTAACAAGTACCACCCTTTAAGAATAACAAAATAAGAAACAAGGGTTGGCAAGGATATGGACAAAAAGGAACACTCTTGCACTATTGGTGGGAATGTAAGCTGTTATAGCCACTATGGAAAACAGTACAGCAGTCCCTCAAAAAATTAAAAATAGAACTACCCTATGATCCAGTAATCACACTACTGAGTACCCTAAGAATACAAAAACATGAACTCAGAGGGATATGTGTTTTTAAAAGCATTATTTATAATAGCCAAATTATGGAATCAGCCCAAATGTCCATTGACAGATGAAAGGGTGAAGAAAAGGTAGTATATATGTTCAACGGAATATTATTCAGCCATAAAAAAGAATGAAATCTTGCCATTTGCAATGACTTGGATGGAGCTACAGAATATTATCCTAAGTGGAATAAGTCTGTCAGAGAAAGACAAGTACCATATGGTTTCACTAATATGTGTAATTGAAGAGAGAAAACAAATGAGCAAAGAGAAAAAGAGAGAGAGTTTGTCATGATGAGCACCGGGGGATGTATGGAAATGCTGAATCACTATATTGTATACCTGAAAATAATGTAACACTGTATGTTAACTATACTGGAATTGAAATTAAAACTTAATAATTTTTTTAAAAAGTAAATTAAGTGAAAAAAAAGAATAACAAAATAAAACATGAAGGTTATGATTTGGAATTTCCTTCCTCTAAAATAAGTCCTTTTCCCAAGCCCAACTCAAACTCCAGCTTCTCCCTAAACCCTTCTCATATCATTCAACTGAGATTAATCTCTTTTTTTGAATTCTTGGCAATTGCTATACACTGCTTATAGGCAGAAAGTGTCAGTTGTCTTTTAATATTCATTGTCTTCTTAGTAACAGAAACCCCAATTTTTAGCTCTTAGCAAATTGCTGCATATCCACGTCTCTCCATTGGCTAGGTATGATCATTTGAATAAGTTATGCAATACGATATTACTGCAAGTATACTGTTGGAATTCCAGGAATGTTGTTTAAAGAAAGCAAACTTAGATTTTAGGAGCACTCCTCTGTGTCTTCGCAAGGTAAAGACTTTACATCCAGGTATCTTTTGGGCTAGAGCTCCAGCAGCTGTCTTGGACACCGAGGCAAGCTTAAGGAAGGAAAGTGCATGCTGTGGAGGATAGAAGACAAAGAGGCATATCCGTCCACAATGAGACCATGAAGCCACCATACAACACATGGTAGTCTCCTTCCAGGTTTTAGATAATGGAAAAATAAACCTTTATCCTGTATATGCCACAAGTATTATTTTTCTGTTCAATAATCTGAACCAAATTCTGACTGGTTGAGCCCAGACTCAAACATAGTCCATAAGGTTTGTTGGAACAATGAAGGGGAGGGGTGGGGAGGAAAGAGAATTATTATTTCTTATAACACTAGAACAAAACATTTCCAGTCATCATTTTCATTCTCAAACCCTTTCCAGTAATTTCCAACTTTGGGGAAGAAAAAGGAAGGAACAGAATAGGTAGGAAAATGGGAAAAGACACTTGTGCCTCTCTGCCAGTTCCTCTCTTCTCTTCTCTACTAGCTAAGTCTTACCATACTTTAAGGCCTGGCTCAGCGAAATTGCTTGTCTGACTTCTGAATTGAGTGCCTATCACCTGTGCCATCATACATACACACAATCATACATCATCTAGTAACATCTTTTGTGTAACTTGTTAACTTTTTACATTGTATTTCTTATTTTGTGTCATCTCCATAGTACAGTGGGATCCACATCCTATTCCTTGCATCTTCCACATATTAGTGTGGTAGGAGATCAATAAACACTTTTGATTACTTGAGTTAAGGTAAGAAAAAAGATGAAAAGAGGAAACAGAGCAGGAGACTAAGGAGTGAGAATGCTTCTCAGAAGAAAAGAGCATAAAAAATATTCCAAGGAGTCCCCAGAACAAGTTTTACTCCCAGGATCTTACCAAGAAACAGGCCTAGGAGAAAAATATTCTGATATGGTTGTTCATCGTTGATACAATCAGTGCAAAACTCAAACTATACTTAGGGAGCTTATCTTCCAACTAAAGGACAGTACATTTTGCTTTAGTTACTCAACTGCCTCAAACGTATTTCTCAATTACCACAGACATTTTAAAGAGTAAGAGATCTAGCTTAGAAACCATGTTTTGATAGTAGACATATAGGATTCCAAACCATAGAGGAAAAAAAAAACTGGCTTCCAATAAGATCATATTTTACAGATATTATTTTGTCAATTGTGACAATATACAGAAAATAATACTTAGATGAAAAACAATTTCACAAAATATTACTGAGTCTGAAATAAGTAGCTCAAGAACTCATTTTCATTAAATAGACACTATTAGCTCTTTTCTAAAACCCAATAATAATAATAATACAGCATTGGGAATCACATTACTACTTCTTTAAAAATAAGACATACCCTAAGCATATATTTTGTAGAAGCTACATCATTAAAGGCTCTATGACACTGGGACCTTAAAAGCTGTGTAGCACTCACAGAATTAACACTATGTAAACAATACACTTAAAAGCTTCAGCTCCATTCAAATACATACAATCATAATTGACATAAAGAATATTTTAAACAGCAGTAATTAATATTTTGCCTAGATTCATGAATTATTTTATACCCCACTGATTTTATTCTCAATTATCACTGTACTTCATATCTGTCACTGAATTATGTACCTAAAAATAAAATATTCTAATTTGTTTTCATGAATTTGGCAAAGTTTTAGGGAAGATATAAATAAAAATATTCAACTAATGGAAAACTCAGTTTCTTTCTCATTCTTTCATCACACAAACCAAATCTTTGTTACATCATTATCTAAAAAACAATGATTGAAAATGCTAAAATAGTATTGTCATAATAATCATACTGGCTCTACTTATGAACACTGGACTATTTTTTAACCTTTATACAATTTACAGCTCACATGTCAAAACAATATTGCATTTTCTTGCAAATTACTCAATTATTTTCTCATTTCAAATTTTTTTTACAAAGATTTCTCAGAAGTATCCATGACAGTAGCTTCTTTGACAGTGAAGTGTACAAAATAAATGACATGTCAACAAGTAAATTAGCATTCCCTTTCTGACCAGCTGGGTCATGTTTCCTTTTCAAAATCCCTAGTCCCATGATACAAAATAATAATAATCTAAAAGACCTCATTAAATGATCAATATATTGACATAACTTCTATAAGGAGACACACAGTGTTTTAATTGATTCCTTAAATCCATTAAATGGTATATTAAACCCCAAACCTCCAAATTATATTGTAAGAGAACATTTCCTTTATTTATCAAATAATTTTTCAGGGTATGCTTAATGGCATATAAAAAGATTCAAGAACTTTTACACTTAACTAAATGGTAAAAGAAGTCCAATTTTCACTAAATCTTTCATACAGACAACATCACAACAAAAGTTATAATAGACAAGTTAAACCATGTTTACTTACCAAAAAACTTCCAAAGGCTGAATTAAATATTGCAGCTGCCTATAAAGAAAATAAATGGGGGAAAACACTCACTGAAAGTAAATAGAAAAAAGGACAAGCAAAGATTATCATTCTCCCATCCCCCACTACTCAAAACCTTAAAACATTGACTCTATAAAGCAAAGTTAGTCACTGCTTACAAAAATTGCCAGTGGCCTGTACTTTACTAAGATAGATGAGCTGCAGCTTATGAATTCATAAATAATGGGTCTCAAAAGCAAGCAGAAAAGGTTTGCCATGAGATGTTTTGAACCTATATGACAGTACCAAAGAATCATCACCAATAGTAAATCAAAATCTTGTTGTTATTGATTTTGCTATTAGACTTAAAAAAGAGGTTGATTTATTTATCAAAAAAAAATTTTCATATTACCATGTAAAGAGAAACCAGAATTGTAAAGCAAATATTAAGTACTCTGCATCAGGGAGCTTTATGAGCTACATTCACAAAGTGAGATCTGTTGTTCCCATACAACACATACTAGAATACAAACAATGCTGCTAAGAGGATGGAAGTTACCGTTATACCATTAATTCTAAAGTAGAAACAAGCAAGAAAAACTTCCACTTGGTGGAACAATTGGTGTTCAAAATTCAAAGAAGAAATATTTGACTTTGTGCTTACCTAAATATCCAGGGAATACATAGTAGATACAATATAGTTCTTAACTTTAAATGAATCACTATATTCCATGAAGCTACAACTGAATCCTGAACGCTTCTCATATTACCCAAAAAGGATAAAAACTTGTATAACATCCAATTTGGTGGGGACAAAAGGAGAGGGAAAGAAAAAATTAATAAAAAGCAGAAGGAGGGGTAGAGAAAACCTATTGACATCTTCTGTAGATCCAGAGCAGAATTAAATTAATCATCATGGACATTAGCAGCCACGTCGTAGTAAGAAAAGGATGTCAGTTTAGCAAGTTTGAATAAAGTCCAAAGCCAGGCTAAGAGCTATAGCTGAAAATGCCTTCTGCTCCAGAAGAGGATGCAATGAGAGTGCATGGGTAATGAGATCCCTGGCTCCAGAGAGCTTAGCTCTCCTATTCAAGTTCATAATTAATTCAAAGCTTTGATAATTTCATTAGATTTCTCCTTTGCTGGCCCTATCAATAAAAGATGGCACTGGACCACAGTTCCTCTGTGGCATAAACATAGGCACAGGCACAGACCAGGGAAACCTTTGCTTCCTGACAGTGACAATGGCATATGGTGTTCTGTGTTGTACAGGGAGTAGAGGAGAAAAAAAGAAAAAAAAAAAAAGATTTGGCTAAATAAAACATTACAGATGACAACTGTAAACTATAGCAACATATTTAACCCATTTTCCTGGAATTCCATAATGTGTGGAGAAAAATAGTAAAACTGTAAAAATAAATGAGTTGTAGTAAGATCAACTGGGAATACTGCCTTCCTTCCTACAAAAAATTAAAAATGCAACTTCCCCACAAACACTGTTTATTTCTAGACTCTATTTTGCCCTTAAAATGGATTGATCTCCTCTAAGTAAAGGAGTGAGGCATTCCTCTCTGAGTTCTTCTCTTCCAAATGTGTTGCTTTCCTGTGCCTTTCACCAGCCTTATTCAAGGTACCTAATGGTTTGGGCTAGTATTTAAAAACAAACAAAAGCAAAAACAAAAAAACATGGATCATTAGAAATACAAAAGACTCAGAAGTCAAAGCAAAACAAGTCAGCTCCTACTCATCAGATCAAATCACCATTCTTCCACTCCAACCAGTTCTCGTTTTTTAACTGAAACACAAACAATGAATTTTACGTGGATTGGCATTTTATAAAATGATGGTGATGACAGGGACAGACCATCTCAGGCACCCGAGATGCTGCAGGCCAGCCTCTTAGTTGTTCTTCTGCCAGGGCTGATGAGTTTGAACTCACTCGTTTATCCTACCACTCGGTGCTCCCAAGCACTGAGCTCTGGCAATCATTCATGAAATGGCTGGTGAAGGTGCTGGGTAATCTGAAGAATCATGTGAAATCAGACACTGAACCAAGGGTCTTGGGCTCAACAGTAACAAATAATTGAGCTAAAAGTTGACTTAATTCTACTCTTGCAGCATATAAGGGAATTAGGTTTTCCAGAGTTCCAAAGAGCATTGATAAATATTTAGAGAGTATTTAATTGATACATAAGAGGCATGCATATCTTTAGACTTAAGGAGGCATTTCCGGCTCCTCAGCACCATATACAAGGCCCTCCGTGAACAGGTCTCTGTCCATCTTATTTCTTGCCTCCAATTTTAAATTCTGACAACACTCAACTACTTGCAATTCCTTAAATTCATGATGCTGTTTATTATCTCTGTCTTTCTCCCTTCCTCTACCTAGGTAATTCCTACTTATTTTAGCAACTCCCTCCAAGAAGCTTTCAATCACCTCCTCCCACACACATACGTCTACACTTCTAGGTGGATTGAGTGTCCCCATGCCTGCTGCCCAACATCCTGAGCATACCTCTGCCATGGCTCTTTTCACACTACTCAGATAATGTGCCTCCTTGCCCCACTAGAAATTAAAGTCTTCTGAGGAAGGAATCTGATGAAGCTCCTCCTAAGCACCTCCATGTGTATTAATCGAATCACTGAAATAAATAAGATTCCCAGGAAGGTCTAAAGTCGTCTTCTCCTACTAAGTTATTCTATTTGTTTGACAGAATCCAAGGATTGGCAGAAGACTGAATCTGACACCTGGCTCCACAGCCAAACAACAGCAATGACAGATTAAGACTTTTTAGTCTCAACTCAATATAAGCATCTCTTTCACAACCTCTTGTTTTACTTCCCATAGCCTCCCTATTATGATACAGTTACATACAGTTACATAACTATGCTTAAATAAATAATGTTTTAAAGTTTACTACTGCTACGTAGCAATAGAGTTAGTTAAACAAAATCTAGAATTACCAAGGAATACTCTGAAGCCATTAAAAAGAAGATGATCTGCATATACCCATATGAAAGTTGGCTAAGATATTTAAAGTGAAAAAGCAAATTTTGAAACTGTGTATAATTCCTTCAACATGTTTTTTCCCACACCACCAAGCAACTCTCCAACATCAGCTGGATGACTACAATTCAACTCAATTCTGACCCTGTCCACCTGAAACTAGTGTCAGATCCCATAGCTCAAGGGCTCAGTCCCACAAGACTATGCCCACTTCCAATGCCAATCACAAAGGTCAGGTTGTCATCACCTGTGCTTCCAACAGTCTGACTATAAATCAGAGGTTCCCACAACCCTGTCCTTGAGTTTGATTAGTTTCCTAGAGCAGCTCACAGAACTGAGGAAACAAGTTTTATTCACTCAATTACCACTCTATTTATGAAAAGGCTCTACAGGAACAGACAGAAGAGATGCACAGGGCAAGGTATAGAGAAAGGGCACTGGGCTTCCCAGGCTCTCTCCAAGCGTGACACACTCTCAGCAGTTCCACATGTTCACCAACTAAGAAGCTCTCCCAAACTGTCCTTTTGGGGTTTTACAGAGGCTCCATTAAACAGGTATGATTGATTAAATCACTGGCCATTGGTGATTGAACAGTATCTTGGGCCTTTTCTCCTCCCCAGAGGTATTGGGAGCTGGACCAAAAATTCTAGCCCTTTAATCTCCAGTTGATTCCCCTGGTAACCAGTCCCATCCCTAAGTGAGTTAGGGACTTTCCAAAAGTCACCTAATTAACATAAGAAAAGACTCATTTTTATATGAACTTCACTTAGGAAGTTCCACACGAACTCAGTGCCAGAAACTGGGACAAAGATCAAATATATATTTCTTATTATAAATCACAATATCACATTCCTATTATGTAAATAGGTACATACACGCGGATGTATACACATGTAGGTATTAAAAAAAAAATCTTTTCTGAAAGGGATCACAAAAACAAAAACCTCCTAAAATGGTTATATTTGTTGAAAGGGATTAGGTGAGGGGTCATTTTTATTTTTCATTTTGTTCTGTCTTATTCAGCTTTTGTTTTTAACCTATTACTTTTTTACATTTCAACAAAGGTTACCTGGGCAGGGAGATGTTGAGCCTTTTATTATTTGCATTTTCAATTCCTTTGTGTCAAAAATGTAATAAACATTTTATTTTAAAACAAAATTAAGATTTTAATCTCTACTTTGCACATTTGTGATCTCCCTTGTTGGTTGCCTGGACAAGATGGAGGTTGAGCACCCTCTAGAGCACACTGCATGGTGCTGGGGGCATAAGAAGCTACAGGATGAACAGAGGGCCTCTTTCAAGAGTTTCTACAGCATATAAATATTTGATTTTGAAAATAAAACAAAAATCCACAATTATTTTTGTAGAAAACAAACATGGCTATAGAGAATGAACTGAGATCAAATATGAGCCACCCGGATAATTTGCTCTGAAGGTGGAACCCTTCAGATTATACAATCAGACTTTCTTAGGATATGTTTCCTCTCTCTTGCCTTCTAGAAGCCATACCTGAAAGAGTCTACTGATTTTTTTTTAAATTTTTATTTATTTATGATAGTCACACAGAGAGAGAGAGAGGCAGAGACACAGGCAGAGAGAGAAGCAGGCTCCATGCACCGGGCGCCCGACGTGGGATTCGATCCCGGGTCTCCAGGATCGCGCCCTGGGCCAAAGGCAGGCGCCAAACCGCTGCGCCACCCAGGGATCCCGAGTCTACTGATTTTTAAATACAGCATTTCATTTGTTAATATTGTTTTTGCTAGAAATAATTTAATTACTCATTCTCTGTCTATAATGCTCCTACAATAAGAATTTTGCCTAATTTGTACAAGATCATGTCCTCAGTGCCTAGAACAGCACCTGGCTTGTAGTAGGACCTCAATAAATATTACTGAATCAAACAACAAATGAATGAATGCTAAAGCTAACTGAATGCCCTGTATGGTAATGTTTTTATTATTAACTCATGAATCCCATCTGTAAAGTATATACCTTGGTGTAATCACATTTGATAGATAATCAGATCAAGGCT